TAGTCTCATGAATGACTTTTTAGGTTCAACTTTTCACGCTGACTCTAAAGCAAACAAGAAAACTGACAATTTATCAGAAAAGTGAGTCACCAGAAGAAACTGAAACTTTTTCTTGAAATACTCATTCCAAAAAAAAGAAAAACACCTATATTCTTGATCAGCTTGTCATACTCTATCTAACCCTATTTAAAAAATCTACCTTAATTTTGAATTTTTGTCATCGAATGCATTTCTTCTTCATTCGCTCGCAACAACATCTATAGATCGATAAACTAGAATGAATGCGAGCATTATTCATCATTCTTTATCTCGAACATTGGAGATAATTAATCGTGAGTGACATTCGGGTTCCTTGTACTTTACATGTCACAGAAGTCATTTTTGAATGATTGACACGGAACATGCACCAGCTGTGTTCAAACTGTTTGATTGTAAGTTCAATGAAGATAATCAAACAAACAGATCGACATATTTTTAAATCGGCTGCATCGATTTATTTATTCATTATTATTTTTACTAGAGAGAGAACAAAAAGTGCAGCCTATATCTCAGAATATTACAGAAGACCTTTTCAGTCACCAAAAATGCTCAAGAAGTTAGAGTAATTAATCTGTTGTATTCAGCTGAAATACTTTACAGATAAGGTTTTTAGATGACATGACGAGGTGTCTTTGGAAAAAAATAACGATCCATAGTTTAAGAGATCTTAAAATGAGAAACAAAAGAGAAAAATAAATGGAAAATTTTTGTGTCAGCTATTATTTATTGTCTTCACGATTGAAAATAATTTGATTTCAATCTTTAAGGATGACTAATCATCGATGGATAAAGAGATGGATCAGTCGAAAAAGAAAAAACAAGTGCCGAAAGAAGGTGCCGACAGTTTGAATCAGCAAATAGTTATCACGTTGGATGGTACAGCTACGAATATTCAAGGAAACATAAACCAAGAAGAGATCAACATGCAAAATGATCATGTAGTAGCGTTGAACGAGGATCGTGAGGCCAAGTCTGAAAGAAAAGCCAAGCGTAAGAAGAGCAAGATGAAAAGTCAATTATCATACCCATCTGATGAACAAGAAGCGGCTTTGAATGAAGAACAACCTGATGAACATCAAAGACAAAGAGTAGAAATAATGGAGGATGGTCGTGTTGCGATTGGTCAACATATGAGTGAAAGGTACCAAATTTTAGGAAATATCGTCGTAGACGAAATTCAACAAGCTCTCAATGAACTGGACAAGGCTGACACGTATTTTTCTCCGATTATTGGGTATGCTGAAGAGCCTTTGTTGCCATTTCCTGAAGCATGTGCTCCATTGGCCGATATTCTTTATAACTTATCGGTCTATGTGCAACGGGCACTAGATGAAACTCCCGAAAATCCACCTGATCGGTTGACAATTGATGAGAGTGCTGCTGTTCGTCTATACACGATCGAATGGGAAAGACCACATCGCAGCCTGTATTCAATGCTCAATTACACTTTGAAAGGTGGTAATCGCGAAGAGCTTCGGCCTTATTTTAAATATCTAAAGTTATTCTTGACTGCACTGGTCAAAATTCCGTGTGTCCCATCATTGACTGTTTGGCGAGGAGTTACAAGAGATTTGAGCGCGGAGTTTCCACCTGGTACCACAGTGACATGGTGGTCATTTTCTTCATGTACAACATCACTAACTGTCTTGGAGAATAACTTGTATTTGGGTACTACAGGAGCAAGAACTCTATTTTCTGTTGAAGCCATTAATGGACGGACAGTACGTGCCCATTCACATTTCGTTACAGAAGAAGAGATTCTTCTTCTACCTGGTACTCATATGATAGTGCAATCACAACTGAGTCCAGCACCTGATCTCTATATTGTTCACTTGAAACAAGTCATACCGGAGGCAACCTTGCTTGAGCCTCCATTCGAAGGTAACTTACAAGATATCAATTCTGCATTCTGAATGTCAGATTTTATTTTTTTAGGTGCACATGTATATCCGGAAGTGAAGTGAGTTTCATTTTGTTTTTACCTACAGATGTTTTCGATATGAACACTTCTGATTGTAATTTGCAGACGTTCCTGGTATAAAAAGAAGCGATTCTTCGTGCCTCTGTCTTTATTTATAATTCTATGTATCGGAGCAATTATTATTGGTTCTGTTCTTGGATCACGAAAACAAGTCAACACACCAAGTATGCCTTTTCTTGAATGTAACATTCATTTGCGTTTAGAATAATTTTCCATACTTTACCTTGTATTAGGCCTATTGAGCATGCGTCGACAGATAGTCGACGACACACCTATAACTCGATTGAACTAGTGTTCAATTCACCCAAAAGTTCGCCTTGACAAGCTCTAAAGAAGTTCTAATAATTACTAATAAACACATGAAAAACAATTTTCGTGTCGAATTCAAAAACTATCAATTGTATTGTATAAGTGATAAACGTATAAGAGAGTGTAAATCACATTCAACATTTTGGATTCAAAATGTATACAAAAATCCTCTATTGCCTGAATCATATTGACTTTTTCTTGTCTCAATTTCTGCCAACAACCCTGTTATCATGAAAGTTTTCATTTTTTTTATAGAAATGCGTTTCTACGTTCTTGATACCAGTATCCAGGAAAAACAATTTTTCCGTCACATCCTGCATGAAAAGCTTCATGTATAACGCCTACTAATTATTTCATTCTGGCCTCCTAATCCTCTGAAGTCATAGCAAACAGTGAATCTCTGAATAATTGAATCAAGGACATTTGATGTGGCATCTAGAACTATCACAATCTAGTTAAGTAGGCATTAGCACTAACCTTAGATGGAGGATGAGAGGTTATTGAGATGGTTGTTATAACAATAGTAAGAACTTCGAATGTATTTTAAAGAAAAGAACGTATCAGATCACTTTTGCCTTCTGAAAAAATTCAAAGTTCAAGTTTAAGCGAAGAATGATAGCGTTAATCAAGCATACTAATTCTTGTAACACCGTTACCTACATCTATGGATTCAAGTATCTTCAGAACGAATTTCGACACAGATTACTAGAAAAAATTATCTCTTTCTACTTGCTCCCCCGAGCTGGTAAAATTTTTTCCCAAGTACATTCCAAATAAGTGAAATGGAAAATAATTTCCCAGAATAAGATCCCAGCTAGATGATATATTCTCAATATTGATTCCTACTTTCATGTTACCATATTGTTCAACAGATGACTTGTCTCATGTTAAATTCAACAGCACGCGAAAACAAGAATGAAAACTATCAATAAATTTGAATCTTGTTGTTTTAGTATATCAATGCAGTGATCCATATCCATCACCAATAACCACTGAAACTGGAAAATTACCAGTTGCTATAGTATTTGGAGATTTTATGAATGTCAAACGCGTAGATTTGGCAGTGCTCAATTATGATGATCGAAGTGTCGATATACTTCTTGGTAATGAGAAAAATGATTATGAGGCTGAATACTACTATCAGACAGATGCTGCACCAAATTCTGTGTTTAATGTTGATCTAAACTATGATGGACTCATGGATATTGTAGTAGTGAATGGAGATGATGACAGCGTTAGCGTTCTGCTTGATAATAACGACGAAACATTTCAAACCTCAATCGAATATTTAGTCGGTGACAATCCAATGTCAGTGACCGCAGGTGATTTCAACAATGATACACTCACAGATGTAGTAGTAGCGAACTCTGACGATGATACGGTTAGCTTGTTGTTGGGTGATGAAGAAGGTACATTTTCTGATATTAAAATTGCTTTTGACGTTGGCTCCAAACCTGTCTGTGTCATATCGAGTGATTTTAATCAGGATGGAAAACTGGATTGGGCAGTTATCAATCAAGATGATAACACTGTCAGCGTAGCTATTGGATATGGAAATGCAACTTTTGAAAATCTACAGACTTATAACGTTGGTGCGACACCAGTCTCTATGATATATCAGGATTTTAATAAAGATGGTAAAGTAGATTTGGTAGTGGTAAACTATGGCGATAATAGTATTAGTGTGCTGCTGGGTAATGGTGATGGGACGTTTCAAGCTCAAATTCATTACGAAATTGGCATGAATCCAAGTGCTGTAGTGGTAGCTGATTTCAATAATGATGGCAAGATGGATTTAGCATTAACGTTTTCGAATGAATCTTCCATCGGTGTGTTATATGGAAATGGTGATGGAAGCTTTCAGAGACCTTTAAAATATAAGGTTGGTACTTCTCCAAGTGCTATGAGAGCAGACGATTTTAACGACGATGGTAAAATAGATCTAGTAGTAGCCAATTCTGGAGAACACACGTGCAGTATGCTGATTAACAGTGCTGATGGAACATTTCAAAATCAAATTAAATATGCTACTGGTGCGAATCCGGTAGCGATAACTTCAGCTGATTATAATAACGATACAATAATCGATGTGTTAGTGGTCAATAAGGGAGATAATAGTGTCTCCTTGCTACTAGGTAATGGAGATGGAACCTGTCGTGGTCGAATGCCGTATAGGCTCGAGAAGATAGCTGATTCGATGGCAACAGGTGATTTCAATAATGATACGAAATTAGATCTGGTATTAACTAATACAATTGATTACAGTATTACTCTACTTCTTGGTAGTGGATATGGTACCTTCCAGTTTGAAATAATATATAAGATTCATTCTCCACCGACCTTCATAGTAGTCTATGATTTGAATAATGACACGATGTTAGATCTGGTTCTTGTCAATCAACACAACGACACCATTATGGTGCTGTTGGGTAATGGAGATGGAACCTTTCAAAATGGAACAGAGTTCATGACTGCTAGTCGACCGAGTTCTGTAGTTGTAGGTGATTTCAACAATGATAACACACCAGATCTAGCAGTGACCAGCTTAGGTGTTCACAATATCATGGTCCTATTAGGATATAGCAATGATACTTTCCAGACTAATAAGACGTTTAAGTGTGGTGCTAGCCCTACTTTTGTCATATCAGTTGATTTAAATCGTGACCAGATCATGGATCTCGTAGTGACCAATCTAGGTGACCATACGATTAGTATTTTATTTGGCTTGGGAAATGGAGATTTTCAAGCTCAAATAAAATACGAAGTTGATAGGGAACCAAATTATGTAATGTCAGGTGATTTTAATAATGACAATAAAATGGATTTAGCAGTGCTCGGTCGACTTTCTAACCATATGGATGTACTGTTTGGTGATGGAAATATGACATTTTCGATTCGAAAACGGTATGGAACAAGTAGTAGTCCAGGTCCTGCAGTAGCCTATGATTTCAACAAAGATGGAAAAATCGATATTGCTGTGCTGAACAAACTTTCTAACCTATTATATATGTTTTTAAACGAGTGCTCATAAACATTCAACGAACGTTTTATTTACAAGTGTATCAATTGATTATTCATGCAATATATGAAGTAGCTATGAACTATGTCATGTTAAAAGATCTCTTTTTCGTCTTAATATATTCAGTTATCATTTTCTAGTGTAGTTTGATTGTCGTTCTTGTTACTTGCAAATACAAAAAGCCAAATGAACTGCAAATTATATGTGCCATTTGTAGGACTTGAACCATGTATTGTGTGCTTTATGAGCAGTTGTAACAGTATGCTTTTCTTTCTATGATATCACAAGTAGTTGAAACTTGTAGTGGACAGAACCGCATCTTGAAAATATATAATAAATGAGTTGTCCGTAAACAATGTATTATTGAAGAGTTGCATTACTCAAAACTATAGTTTCTAATTCATGCAGAAGTTAATTCATCGATAGACTCATCGTCCTTCGATCAGAATTCGATCAATTCGATTCATGCTTGATATACTGGACATGTTACTCCCTTCCTAATTGTATCATAAAGAGAATGTCGAGAAAAAATTAACTAGGCTTGTCCACTGCATTTAGCGCGATTCTCCTTAGAAAATCATTTTGATAGTAAGGACGAGCCTCTCCTTCCAGATAGTTGATTTTTCTCGGAAAATTCGACTTTGCCAAAAGCCCATGTTCTACAAATTACTTTGACATTAACGGGATTGGATAATTTTAAAAAACAATCCAATTGAATTTCTCATTCGCATTTATTTATCTTAAAAGATGCTTTAGATCATGAAATTTTTGAATTAGAATGTTTCTATTGTAAATTCAATTTCAGATGAATCCTTCCTTCAATCTAAGATTTATGACAAGTTCACAAACTTGTTCTTCTTCTTTGAAGTGACATCTTCTATAGCCATGCTTTTACTCTTACCTTTTAATTACGGTTTTTATTGCTTTCTCTGTTTTACAGAACTAATTTATTAATGATTAGAGGGTAAGATTCAATGTCCAACATCAATTTTTACATAAGAACGATGTTCTGGCAGTCGTAAACTGCCACAAACACTTGTAAATGCACAAAAACCAGAAAAAACTAGCCAGTTTTTGCTCGCAATTATGGTGCCTAACTATGAGAGAAAATCGAATACAGTTCCTACTTTTAATACGTTTACATCAGTTCCAGCTCATAAGAGTACCTGAGGAATAAAGGGATTTTCAAAAGTGTTCAACTGAAGGATTAAACGATTACTTGTATAGTTTGGTCAAAACATTTAGTCAGTTATATAGTACATTCCACACAAGTTTCAATATCGGTCAGATGGCACAGAAAAAGGTTGTTCGGGGTGTGGGTGTGCGTGTTGACGTTGGTGTGGATGTTCTCTTAATTCAGCAACATCCATACCTACACACACTTGTTTGAATGGCACATACTCTTTCAGTTGTCGTCCATTGTCGATGGACTCCGACTTAGATTGAATTCGAAGCATGCTTAGTGAATTCTATGCGTTTGTCTTTATAATGATCGCTTATATAGATATGGAAGTAGTAATGAGAGCATGCAAGTAAAAAAATAGTAAGTAAATATTGATGAAGAACAGCAAAGCATGTGACTAATAGAAAGAAAGGGAACAAATTTATCAAGAACGAGTATGAGTAAAAATATGCAGAAATCGGTGCAATATTATGAAAGTGTCGGGGACAAAGTGAAATTAAGTGCAGAACAATATCAACACAGTCATTAGCATGCTTGATCATGATCGGCCACATGAAACATACAAAAGAATCATTAGTACGTTGTCTAGAATAGAACATTAAGTTCCAGCAGATGTCGTGATGTTTCAGGTTGAATCTTAGGTAAAATTTAGTCTATCAAGCTTATATCAACATCTTATATCAATTGAAATGAAAAGGAGTTATATTTTTTAGTTCATCTTTCACTGTACATGGAATGATAAGAGTGATTTTACTGCATGCATAGTCCTGGTAGTGAAGTGGTTATCGCGTCTGTCTTACTCACAGAAGGTCGTAGATTCGATTCCTACACGAGACATTTTCACTCTTTTTTTTGTGTTGAAATGAATTAAAGAAATTGAATTGATTCGTAAAATTTAATTTCGAAATAACTCTTCAAGAAACTTTAATATCTTGATGATCAAACTTCATTGTAATCCATTTTAATAAGTAGCGATTAGGTTGAAATCTATATCTAATATTTTTCTTTTGACATCCGTGCCTTCAACTTTTTCTTGTTCAATGGTTTCTATCCGTGCTACGTCGCATTGAACCCTTTCTCAATATTCATATTTCATTTGAATTCTACTTTGAATGGCACGATAACATGTTCTGTTCTACTTCTTAATGGTCTACAGATAAAGAAATTAAATATCATTGACTCTTGTTGGTTAGAAAAGACAAAACATTTTTCAACACATTGCTTAGTGTCTATGATCCAATGACACGAGTCAAACTTGACGAAGAGCGAAAAGTATTAAACTGAATTACCTAACCTTTCTACACATACAAAAGCAGCAATTTCAAATTTTCAAGAAATCTTCCAGTGTTCTCAAGTCAGCTATTCTTAAACGCTTTCCACGTCCACTGTGAATAGTATAACTACTATAATAATACTGAAAATTCATATTCTATCACTCTTCCCTTTTTGTCTCTCTCTTACAAAAATTCTTGTCATCTTCAAAATTTTTATAACATATAAGACTGCTTACTCTAACATTACAGGGTGGCCCAAAAGTAACATGACAAATAATTTTTTCGATTTTTTTTTGAACATAGTAAGCTAGATCTCATATTTATACTCCATATACTAGGTGACATAATTCAAAGATGCAGCATATGATCAGTGTCAAGCTGTTGGAGCTGATCCAAAAGCGTATAAATAATACGAAGCTTGCCAATGAAATTATGTTGACGAGCTTGTCAATCAGTACCTGAGCGATTACAACTTTGCAAAGATTTAGAGAATGAACATATTGAGCAATTTTCGTGAAAAGCTTCTCTATTAAAAACATCACACAAATACATATTATTGTGTGTGTCATTTTCTAGTTCTATTATTTTAATAAACGTTTTGTTAGAACTCAGAGTTTGTTTTTTTATTTCTGGTCGCTCTATATTTGTACGCTTTTAAAGAAATTACTACACTTAAGTACTGATCATATGCTGTACCTTTGAATTATGTCACCTAGTATCAGTGGCGTAACCAGAGAGGGAGGGGGCAGGAGGGCAAATGGGCAATTGCCCATTTTATTTTACGATTTGCCCATTGAAATTTTACTCTTTCAGAATTGTTTATTTCTTTGCTGCTGCATATATCTATAACGATCTCGATATAAACCCAGATGAAATATGGAAATTATATGCACAAATGCATCATCGCCGTCTTGTTTTAGGTGTTTGAATTTGAAATATAAATCTTATAAATAGAGACATTAAAAATAGACTAAATACATGTGACTCAGGCTTAAGGTCTCTTCACCCCCTCAAAAATCAATCTCAGTCCAGGATCATTCTAATCTCATGACATTTGAAGAATATGTTGTGGTTGTAGTGGAGAAGCTATGGTAAAATTTTCAGTTCTGTATCATGATGTTTGACAGACATTTACGAAACAAGGTTCAAAAATAGCTGATTCGGCATCCCGAATTTGTCGGCCGAGACTCTTCAAAGACATTCAATTTTCTTTGGTTGAAAGAGCATGTCAGGATGCAGAGTACCAAAAACTCATTTTTTATTGAATTCTTATTTTCGAAAGGAGAGAAGGAATTACAGGTTTGATGAGTCTAAAAACTCTCTAAAAATGGAGCTCAATTTATCCAAGTGATCGTATATATAGCAGAAGAAAACTTAATTAAAAAGAAGGACTCTTTGGTGCAGCACATTTTGACATTCTGTTTCAAACAAAAAGAAAATTAAATGTATACAGGATGGTCCAAAAGTAACCGAACAGTCTTTGAGTGCAAATAACTTTTGATAGGAACAAGATAGAGAGCTGCAGTTTTCATCGTTTAAAAGAAAAGAAATAACCGCATCGAACCTTGAATACCAGATTTTTATAATAAAATTTCTCATGGTTTTCAGACAAGCCTTTAAAAAAATGCTGGCATTTTAAATAAGTTTAAAAGGTGGATTTTTCCTAAAAAATTCAGAAAAATAGTCAGCTTTTCGCCAAGAATCTGCCGAGAACGCTTAGTAAAATGTTAGGAACTAATGATTTGCTAAATCTTTTTGGCATCGAACCTACACAGACTATTGAACTTTAGTTAACGATTCTGATGCACTACTGAAAATTAAAATTCTAAAACTTTTACATTACACAAAAATTTGCATCACAAAAGTTGTCTGGAGACTCCGAGTGAATATTGTCATAAAAATCTGATATTCAAGATTCGATGTAGGTTTTTTTTTCTCTTTCAAACGATGAAAACCGCAGCTCTCTATCTTGTTCCTATCAAAACTTATTTGCAATCAAAGACTGTTCGGTTACTTTTGGACCATCCTGTATAATTAGCATGGGCGGAGAAATTTGGATTGAGCGTTCGACAAATTATGAATTGAGAAAAAACGAAAAAGATTTTTCAAGCAGGCGGTGACGGAAAACATCAACACTTTTTGCTAAAAACGATGTACCAAATAAAAAGCTACATCTCTTTTGAAAGAGCAGACTTTGGACTATGTTCTCACACACTTATCTCAGTTTTCATATTTTTGACGAAAATTGACTTTTTTTGAGGGCGGGGGAAAGAGGGGCTTAAGACCTGAGTTTTGTGCATATTTGATTAAAAGAACCTCATTTCATTTTTTTGTGTTTTTTTGTTTTACGTTATCAGTACTTGGTTGGGTCAAAAAAGTTTTGGCCCATCATTTTGTTCTAGTACAAGCGAAGTTTGCCCATTGGTCTAAAAATCCTCGTTACGCCACTGCCTAGTATACGTGGTATAAGTATGAGATCTAACTTGCTATGTTCAAAAAAAATCGAAAAAATTATTTGTCATGTTACTTTTGCACCATCCTGTATATATATCGAGCGAAAGGTCGTCGAAAACGGGATTTATTTGTATTAAACGATACGATCTACGAAGATTTTCATATGACGAATCTATAAACTTTGTAATATTTTACCGAGTATAGATATCAGAACCATTATTCATGAAATAAATAAATAAATAAATATTACAAATTTTGTTAGTTGGATATATAAATTCTTCATAATCCTTATTGTTTACTCTATTTGAAATTACAGTGAAATGCCTTAACAATACACATATGTTATGCACTTTGAAAAAGAAAACGAAAGTGATTTTTACATGAAAAGGTCTCTTTATGATTAAATGGTATTGCCATTTTGTGTTTTGATGAATATATAATTCATCATTATCATCTATTACTAAGAATTATTCATTTTGTCGTTTATTCCATTTTTTAGAATCGTCATATAAAAACAGTCTTATTCACTATGTAATACTTGCAATGATTGATCGGGTTCCTTCTGACGTATTTTTTTGCCATCACAAAGTAAATAGAAAAAGAAAACCTTGAATCGTCGAATACTGACTATAAAATTTACTTCTTTAGATAACAACGAATGACTATAAAACAATAATGAATAAGTCGTTCGAGGGCGTTCTCTTTCTTTACTTTTGTATATATATATATAAATATAAAACACAAATGAAAACGAAGCATCATACTTTATATTTTCTATTCTTAAAACTAAATACACATCTACACAATGCCAATTGGTACACTTGAAGTAATTATTGTTGAAGGACGTCATCTCAAAGATCGAGATATTGTTGGTCAAAATGATGCTTATGTAGAAATTTATTTAGATAAAAAATATAAACAACGTACAACAACTATTTCAAATTCAAATAATCCAATATGGAATGAACGTTTTACATTTAATCTTCAAAGAGGTGATGATACAATTCATTTTGATGTTTATGATGCTGATGTTGTTGGTCGAGATTCAATTGGAAGTGGTAAAGTTAAATTGAAACATGTTTTTGATGATGGAAAATTTAATGAATGGATAAAATTACCAGCGAAATTTGGTTTATCATCTCATGGAGAAATTCATGTTATTATGAATTTTATAGTAAGTTTTCTTTTAAAACAAAATTATATTTTTTTATTAAATTTTATCTATTTTATTTTAGCCGGCTTAATATTCGTAATCCAATCAATATTGAAAATTTTGTTTGCGTTTGCAAATTATCTTTTCTTTCTTCTTCGTGTGTGCGACTGTAATCAATGAATAAAATAAACTAAAATACAATAATTATTCATATTTGTCAGTGTCATTTTATAAAAAGCTGTTTGATGTTTAAGTATTTAAAAAAAAACTATTCAAAAAGAAGGCCGAATATTTTTTTTGTCGTGGTACTCAAAACAAGAACTCATGTATTGAAATGATATTATTTATATTTCATAGAAATTCTTGTTTAGGACAGTGATGAAAATCAGAATGATTGTATATATATTAAGAATTAATACTTTACTTTCATGCGATATTTATTTAACCCTCTACCCATGATAGGACCTAAAGGGACAAATGATTTTGAAAACAAGTTGCTTATAAAGAATGAAAAGCAATTAAAGCAAAGCACAAAACATGAAGCATATAAAACTGTGGGCATAGATAATGTGAGTTATGAGCGATGGCTTGCCGAGTCGAACCATTTTGGTATGCGAGTGGAATGCATAGACCATCGACGAACAAGTAGCTTGCGACGTGTAGAACAGAACAGAGTTATATAAACATGGTGCTGTGTGAGGAAAGGCTCGAATACGATGCTTATTCTCGAAAATCCAACATATTACCATTGCGCCAATCCACCCTTAAGAATTAATACTTTGTTTCACAGCTCCTGTTGTGTATTCATTCTTCTTATCTATTGAAATACATTCTAGCTCACTCTTAAGGCCATGTCAAACTACAAACAAAGACAAATTAGTTAAAAAGAATCATCTATCATCGAGAATAAATCTAACCTTTTCAGCTCACTTAAATTAGAATATAGAAATCTTTGTTAACGTCTCTAATAGCATCCGATAATGAAATAGTAGGTTTTTATGAATGAAGTTTTGATTATCTTCAAATTCGAATTCAAGATTTAGAATAATCATGAAATTGAGCATTTGGTTATACTTTATTCAAAAGAATGAAAAAGAAAGAAATATTTTCCATTCTATACCTATGTGTATGATCAATATTAAGAATACCCAGTTAGTTGAGGAAACCCTATTCTGCCGTTAAAACGATGTTTAATGTCACATCGTTTAAACGCCGATATATTGACCAAATTACGCGTTTATCACAAAAAACGATTTTCTACATCATAAAGTAATATTATGTTCTTGTCGCTAAAACATCGGATTGTAAATGTCATAAATAGTGATTTGTTGACGTTAAAACCATAATTTTTCTTTATTTTATCTGTCGTAAACGATTCTTTACTTGAAAAAGAAGTTTAATATTCCAGAATCATCTTCGTCTTACATGTAACCTAACCATTTATCTAATTTTATTAATTTGATGATGAACAATACACGTTCGTACTTTTTCTCAATATCTCAATGCATTTCAATGAGTAGGTCTCATTTTGTTTTCGAAAAAGAAGAAGTTAAATTTCTAACAACTCAAAATATTTATTTAAAGAAATGAAAGTTCATGCATCTATAAAACATAAGATATGAATAGAAGTCTCTTCTACAAACTTTTCTTTTTGTATTGATATTTGTTCAAAAGACTTCTACTCATGCCTTATGTTTTAAAGATGAATGAACTTTCCACTTCTTTAAATAAATATTTTGACTTTTTAGAAATTTAACTATTCTGTTTTCTTGAGAATAAAATGAGATCTTTTCATTAGAATATGTTGAGATATTACAAAAACCTGACTGCACTCTTTCTTCTGACACATCGATCGTTTTTTTAAAAGTCTTTTTTCTATACTCTTCGTAGGTAATTAGAAATTTGTCGATCGCTCAAGGATGATGCGTTTGTCTTACATCTGATAAATATTCAATCGAAATCCTCTCAAGTTTTCGTTATGAATTCTGGAGTCTAGTTTATTCTAATATCTATGGTGAAATATATAACTAGTTACAAAGTTGTGATTTATGATAATCTCGATGAATAATGAAAGAAGAATCTAAATTAGTTTATTAGTATCAGATATGTATGTGATAATGAAACTTAGATTTTTAAGACGAATTAATGAATTGATACGACAAGCGAAAAATTCTAGGGGAAGAATACCATAGATAAAATGATGTCAATTTTTTGGTATATTTTATCAAAAAGAAAATATTGACCAGCAACACTATTGACGTACTTCTAAAATTTATTCATTGTTGAGACTATTTTTTTTCTCATTCTTTAACAGTCGTCTGTCGTAGATAAAAAATAATTTATTACTACAAAAGTTAATAGAGCAGCTAAGTTTTTTATTTGATTACTGTAATCTTTATGACTTATGCATATTTATCATCTAGTTGTTCTTTTAAGATTTATACTGAAAACGTAATATATACTCAGCATTATATTCTTTTTATGGTATAAGAGTTAAAAAATTAAAGTTTCTTCGCGTAAGAGTTTCAATCGACGACGAACTCAGTAAAATAACAAGCTATAAAATGAAATCATTAATGAAACTAAGCTATTTAACATTTTTTTCAACTGATTTATTAAGATCAATCAGTGTGATGTTTCGTTCTAACTAAGAACATTATCAAACACAAATAAATAGACAGAAGAAGAATATATATATAAGAGTAAAATAATGTCTTCGTTTTTCTATTCTATTATTTTAAACATTCTAATGCAGACGGATCAATTTTACTCCCCCCGTGCATTGAAATGCTTAAAACAATAGAATAAAAAACGATAACATTATTTTACTCTTATATATATTCTTCTTCTGTCTATTTATTTGTGTTTGATAATGTTCTTAGTTAGAACAAAACGTCACACTGATTGATCTTAATAAATCAGTTGAAAAAAATGTTAAATAGCTTAGTTTCACTAATGATTTTATTATGGAATGTGGTGCTACCAAATGACAAATAAGTTCTATATTATATATTTTTTCTACGAATATCGTATTTTGTCAACTATCTCGATATAATGTACAAGACAGTTTTCCACAAATACTATCCTAAGAAAAAGCAAAAATAAACGCAGAACGTAAGGTGAAACTAAATCCTGTACATCGTTCAATTCTGAAGACTTCTTCTATTAGAGTCATCTGAATCTTTTTGCTCAGATTTTCTAAGCTGGACCAACGGTCAATGAGAATCCTTATTCACAATTCGTATAGAGTAAATGTGTGAATTTCTCCGTAATCTGAATAGTATTTTAGATTAAATTCAGATATCATTCATGTATCTTATCTTTGTGTACATTCACATCGCTCGCAGAAGTGATGTTTACTTATTGAGCAATCTTCATCGAATGAATGAATGAATGTGCTGGACGAATTTATTTTCTCTTTTGTCCTTCTCTAACTTTATTCTTTTACTTCTTGACTTAAATTTTTCTTTTCTTCCCTTTGCTTTCCTATCTCTCCAATTTGATTAAGACTAACAATCAATTACTAAGCATATGAGATCCGTTCTATTTATGCCATATACATTTGTCGAATATATATTAACTGACAATATTACTCTCTTTTGACTTGGCTAGAGTTTCTAATTGGATTATGTAGCTCATAATTAATAATGTTGTATTGCTTGTCATAAAACGAGTTTCAATTAGCTCATATACTGATGAGTTGATAATTTGTGATGAAAACTCTAATGCAGCAAATTTATGTTTGAGAATATTAGGAAAATTTATCGTACGTTTCGAGCTTTGAGCATCATCAAAAAATTAGGATTTCAATGTGAAGATTGAGACTTTAAATCAATAAAATCAACCTGTATTTTTTCGATATTCTAATATTCGCACCAACACATTATTTTGATTCATATGATGTCAATGTTATGCGGATTCTTACTTTAATCAAAGGAACTCTTTTTCACATAATTAAATCTACAGCGAATACTTTTTTGAAGTAATTCAGCAGATCAAAAGATAAATGGAAGCTCGAAACGAACTAAATGTCTTTCACGCGTACTGTGAAACAATAAAAAATACAAATTCACGAGAATATAAATAATTATGGGAACCAGTCCCAAAAAAAAAAGATTAATCTACTTTAAGCATTTACAGCTTTTTTCGTTGGACAAGATGATCATAAACATTTCTCACTATCTTTTACGAAGAAGAAAATGACTTCTATAACCGTTTCAGAGACTATTTAATGTGAATAACGCTTGGAAACGCTGACTAGACGTAAAAACGGCAAGAAAAGTGATGATCACGTTTTTTCTTGCCGTTTATCACTGTTTCCTAATAGAACGGGTGATTATGACAGTTTAAACGGCATTTTCAGTGTTTCACTTCTTCCTGAGAAAAGAACAAATGAAAAAAAATGAGTTTCATGTGCCAATACAACTACATATCTGATATTTCTTGTGTACAATTTTAAACTAATTATAAAAAGAATAAAAATTCTATATGGAAACTTGGTTGAGAGAATAGAAGAAGAATAAGTTTGACATTATTGGAAAAGAAAATGAATATTATTTAATACATAAATATTGTTACAAAAGCCATGTTTGAGTTCGATTTTATGCAAATAACGATGTGTTTGCAATGCGATTATGTAAATTTTAATGTTCTTGCTGATCGTCATATTAATGTTCATTTCATTTTATTTAACTTGAAATACATTTATACTTGCAAATCGTATTGATACCGATGGAAGTAATACATTTGTTGTTCAATCAAAGGTTGATAACCGAGTAATACTATTATAACAAATAGGACCACAAAGAAATAATTAATATTCAAAAAAAAATTCACATAAATATAAAACAATACATGCAAAATAAAATATTGGAATATATGTTATACAGAGAATCAACGGAGTATTATACCATACAGGTTTTTCCTCTTTATGTTTGACTTCAATGTGAATGAAATATTAAAATATGTCGTTCGATTGGAGTCTATGTCATTAAAGATACATTAGTTCTTTGAAGAGCAAAAACATCCGAAATCTAAAATAAGTCAAAACCTTTTGTATCTAATTGAACATAACCAACATTGTCATTATTGAATGATTATGTATGTGAGCACGAAATATAATTTTATATAACGATCAAGCATTAGTTTCGAAGAGAGTGTAGGTGTAGGAGTTGGGTAGATATAGGTATCGATAGTTTTTTTAAGCACACCCACACTCACACCCATCTACACATCCATCTCACACCTATCCACATCTTGTTATTCAAAACCTTGTTGAAGCTTCCACTTTTCTTTTCAAACACAAATGTTGAAAAAGCAAGAAAGAGGAAAAAAATAAAAACAAGAAAATCCTTTTGAAAGAATAGACTTGAATAAAACTAGTTCATGTTTAATATATTGTTTGCATGAACAGATGCGGACTGGAATAATGAATATAATATTTAATAGAACTAATTGTTTTTATCCAAAAAACGTATCCCAATGAGATTTTTGTCCATGGATATTCGATGGTCGAAGTCGACGACTAGCACGTTCTAAAGGAAAAAGAAAAACTCGTCAATCTTCTAGTGTCAATCGTTCTCTTTTACGTGGCATTTCATCGATATTTTGGTCACTATTACTGTCGTCATCATCATTTTCATAAAGTTTTGTTTCTCGATTTTCCAAAAGTGTTAATAATTTTGCATAAGTTGGTAATTCAACCATGTTTCTTCTTGATAATTTTGAAACAAGTTCATCATTGTCTATTGATCTTGCTGGTACTAGAAAAAGGAAAAGAATTTAATTTAAAAAAAAAATATCATATATAAATATGTTTATCTTACCACATAAAAGAAAAGCGGATACAAAAATTATTGAGAATATCAACGATTGCATTACGATTAATATAAAGAAATACGAACGGTGGTGTCAAATATTGCACTGCAAGGTATGCCTATGTATATGTAAAAATATGAAGTTAGTAGGCAATACAAGGAAAGATTAGTTTGTAAATTTTATGATAAAATGTTTTTTTCAGTCTACTACACTAATGAAAAGCGAGAAAAAAAATAAATATAAGATTGATTTATTGAGATGGTCGTCATTACAACGAATTTTCGCTCATATTTCATCAATCAAAAACATAAACGCAACTTTACTCATACACTTAACTTCTCTATCAAAAAACTTTTTATTGGAAAAGAAAATACTATACTTATAAAATGATATATCATCTATCGTAGCTATATTCGAACGCATCTATTATGGAAATATACTTATTAAACAAGTTGACAAATTACTTAATGTATCTTAAGTTGATTAATTATTTGAATGAGATAGAATTGTTAATAATTTGAAGGCGTTTGGTGAACCCATGTAAAAAAAAAAAGATGAATTCAAAATCAAAAACTCGTGTTTCCAAGTTAAAACTCAAGAAAAACGTGTCTTATAGTCATAGCAATTGAAGTTGATTAATATTCGATTTTTTGATCGTTTATTTTTGCATAGGAGAATGATGAATTTCGTAACTTAACATATGCAATGAATAATTCAGAATAAAAACTCTCACTGATGGATTTAGGAGGAAGAGGAGGCGCTAGAGGCGATCGATCCCATCCCAAATTTTTTTCCAGCAGAAAAGACTAAAAAATAAGCTGATACAACTCTCATGTCTCCTAGAAAGCGCTTACATCAAGAAAATATTAGATCCATCACTGCAAACTCGTTATATATTATTATTTATGCATCTAATATGTTATGAAAGAACAAGAAAGACCAACATATATACACGTCAATATAGACGAATCATCAACCTGTGGGAAATTTATTTCAAGTGTATTCATTGAATGTCATATTTCTCTTATTAAATATTCATCGAAAAAATATGTATATTTGCTATTATGTTTTTAATGCGACACAACTCTTTCAACCAAGTAATTTCTTCCTTATACAATTAATATTTTCATTCAATTATGAATTATTGATAAAATAACTGAATGCATACTATTTTGCACATATAGGCAAGAATATATTTTTCAGAATCGGTAAAAGTAAAATAAAAAAACATTATATATTCGATGAAATTAATGAAAAACAAAAAGACAAACAAAATTTGAATAGATAAACAACAAATAAAACTTTCTGTGTTTTTTCTTTTCTTTACATAAATCATGTTTGCTAGTCCAGATGTATACAATGAACCCGTGTGCAGGAATGCGCGTTTGGGGAAATTCTTGAAAATGTCGACATCGGAAAAATTTTCGAAGAATGTCTTCCTCTACGGAGAAATCATAAACTCAATAAACGATTTCTCTAGTTTATTTGTTCTTTCTTTGTATATTAATTTATAGACCTAGGTCTTTGTCTCATTTGCACGCGCATCATTCATCTTCGAATGCCTTCCTTCTTTCCCTATTACACATTTTCCTTGCAGCACTGTTTCTTGTCATTTACTCTTTTTAAACGTCACCATTCTTTTTGGTTTAAAGTATCATTGAATATAATAGATTATATGTGTGAATAATATATTGCAATCTATCTGATTTATTAACTATAATAAGTTATCTGCACATGATTCTTTATGAAGCTTTTCTCTTGCAATAGAGGACTACTTTTTAGAAAATAATCCAGACGGATCAACAGATCATAATATCTCTGTTATCAATTTGTGTTAAAACTGAAAGCTTTCAAAGTTTTTAGTGATACTTTACCTGAAAATCAAGAGGTTATCCAATTTTACACAAAGGTTTCACCAAAATTCACCTCTTTAAACATAAAACACATTGCTTAAATAAATCGATTCTCAAAGAACACCTCAAAGACTATATTCATATTAGAAGACATCTTCGAGAAGGGTGATCTGAAAAACTCTAATACAAAGTAATAGTCTTCTATTGTGAAACGAACTCTAATCGATTTCGATGATTAAAAGATTTGTTACAGCTGTTCTATGTTCATAACATCACTTTATTCAGTTTTCTTTTTGCATAATAATTGATTATAACCGATAGCTCGCTTTTGATGTTCTGTTTTTATGAATATGCATCCTCAAACAAAGACACTTTTTTCTCTTCTTTTTAGGCGGAGAAGTTTTCCGAAAAACTTTTGCCGTTTGGGAAAATTTGTCATTTTTACGGCAGATTCTGCATCTCTGTTTGTCACTGAGGAAGAAAAGAAGATGAACGCAAAACGGAAGGACAAATACACACACATATACGAAATTATTCTATAATTCATGTTCGATCTTTTTGTAGCGTATTGTTGATAATAATACATGAAGTTTTTAACCAAATATGACTAGATCAAAATAAAATGATGACATAAAGAAAACAATAGCATTATAATAATTTGAAGATTAAATGGGAGAGAAAAATGTTTAAATTCAATTGAGAAATAAATACAGTAAAACCTCTCCATAGTGGATACCTTTCGAACTTTTCAAACGTGTCTATTGTAGAAAGTTGCGCACGATTGGGAGGTTTATGGTATTAGAATCAACGACATTATGATCTATTTGTCAACATAAAAAAATTAATTTTTTTAATCATTGTTGTTTGTCATGTTCAACTGCCAATTATGAAAATACAAATAAAATGCCATAAAAAATACGATTAGCCTAAAGTTGGGTTTAGGTGGGGTGTGGGTATGGGTGTTAGAAACTCGACCCACACTAACACCTTTAATCTTTCATCAAGCAGGCTGTTTGTGAATAAAAATAAATCGATTACGATATGTTTTAAATAACTCAAAGTTCTCGGAAGTCGAATTGTTTACTTCTTATTGTTTATACCTCTGACATTATGAACTTCAACAAGAATTTAATGAACTGAAAAACAACTTGCAGCAAAATTTTGTCACCATTATGAACTTAAAATGGAAACTGTCAAAAATATTGAAGAAAGTTTAGTAAAACCTAGTAAAGAGAGTGTAGGTATAGATGCCGGTTCCAGTGAAGATGAGGTCGGCTACAACACCCACACATCCACACCCTATCTTAGGGATCAAAAGTTTTCTTAGTTTACGAAGAGTAATACTTTTCTTTACGGTTTCCGAAAAAATCTTTTCATATTCAATACAGAGATGTTTCTTAATTTTTTGTCGTCGAAGGCAGCTACATTTACGACGAGATCTGACAGAAATCAAAAACTATTTGCTAGATTTGCTAGACATACATCGTCTGTTAGACATAATGGAACTAAAGACTATTTGGTAGACTCAGCAGAAACTACAGGTAGACTATTAAGTTTCGCAGATCTGACAGAAGTCATAGACTGTCTGTTGGATTTACCGGTCCTATGCAATCAAAGAAAAGCATACAGCCACCTTAAGCAATCGTTAAATCGATTAAAAAATAATAATAAATTAGAGAAAACGAAATGAAAAGATAGACAAAGTATTCGAGCCACAGTAAGCAATTAATTACTGTTTGTTCAAAAAACTTATGTATTTATCTTAGTTGGTAGCTGCCAGAATACTCATGCGTAGAAATTGAGGAAGTTCGGTAGCGCCAAACATTTCATTCAGACATTCGAAGTAATAGAGACAGCAACCAACGATTTGAATCAGATACTTGTAGGTTTCTTTCTTTAGTTGTTGCCATACAATCGTGTACAGCCACTGAGTTATTACACTGAAAGTACTGAGGATGATGCTGAATAATTTCATTAAAAAGCGTATGACACCGCGTGCTATTGTGCCAATTATATCAGGTAAACTTTCTGTTGTAATGTAAGTTATAAAATCTTGGAATCTATCGTGAATAAATTGAGGCACTTGTTCAACTGTACTGACAAAAAATGTACGGAATCGTTCAACAAAACTAATCACTCTATCTTTTATTAAATAAACCATAGTTTTCAGTGTTCTGAGAGGCGTTGTGTAAATGCTTCGAAGATATTGAAAGAGATCCAAAAGCCATTGCATCAGGTGTTGTCCGCATACGTATAGAATGATAATATCTCCGTAAGATTTCATCATGACATACACGCTATGCTTGATTGGATTCTCCTTGATTTTATTCAATGCAATAGTCCATGCTTGATTGCGAACATTGGGATCTGTGCTAGCCAGTTGTGCGATGAGATTATCGACAGTAACATTGGTCGAATCCATATATTCGAAAAAGCGTGCAACAGACGAAATACCAGCAGCAATCGCTACAGACATTGTTGAGTTGTTCGAGAAGTAACTGATCTGCACGCTGCTGAAATATTTTATACGAGTGGGTTTCTTCTCATCGCCAAAGTTGGAAAAAGATACCTGGGTAAGTATGGTGTACGCTTTTTACTTCGAAAAAAACGCAATTGCCGTTATTACAACTGTTTGCTGATAAGAATACATATATTATATTTACTTCCTTTTTTTGTCGGATAAAGAACACTATTTCATCAACGAGCCAACATCTATCGAAATTATTGATATGAGAACGAATGAGAGAGTGAATAAAAAGAGTTTCCGATTTGGTCCAAATTAATCGAGAACTGGCGCTTAACCGCGATCCTTCTAGTAAAAAATGTCAGAGATCCTCCAAAATCACTTTTCCTTTCGGGATGTGGGTGTTGATTTTGATCAAAGAAGGAACAAACCGACACGCACTTACCCACTCCTTCAGTACCCCCTGAGATAATATTGTCTAATCGTGTAAAATGATAAATCGTTTTGCGGAAAACATGGATTAATCTACACTTATACATGTCATAAGAAACAGTTTTCATGAAACCGTAGAATAATATACCTTTATTCGTATAATGATAAATTGTTCCGTTGATAATATTGAACAATTCACTCTCACGAAGGTGCCATAAAATCTTTTTTTTTCATAAACCCTTCCGCTCATAAACCTTCGAAGGGTAAATGACATTAGCATCAACTTTCAAAGTTTTATGGAAACTTTTTTAAAATGCAAGCGCCGATTATTCTACGGATTTATTTTTACAGTGTGTGAATGTGGTGTATGGTGCGAGAAAAGTAACATCATCATCCACGTTAGAATAATCGGTCTCGGTTTCATTATTTTTATTGTTACCAATCAACATCAATAAAATAATCGGGTGAGGGTATTGGATTCACCTTCAACCATACCGACACATTCACGCACACATTGGATCATTACAATATCGATTAGAATCTTTCATAAAGCTAGGCTATAAACGTTACGACACATATGGTTACAACATTCTAAACACTACGCTATCTAAAAGTAAAGGAGACGAACCGCACAATAGTAATACGAGACTATAGATGAATAGATTGCCAATCATGCTTAAGATTTCATATTTAAGATTTGTTCAGCCATTTTGGTTCCTTGAATTCTTGCTTTGATTTTCTCATAACACACTTCTCTCGGTGTGGATGTATCATCGGCAAATGGGCTGAAGCCACAATCATCAGTCGTGCCAAGTTGTTCAATGGGAATGAATTTTGCTGCTTCTAATACTTGATCTTGGACCATTTCAGCCGTTTCAATTGTCGGATTGATGGGATCAGTAACACCGACGAAAATACGATGATTCGGTTTCATATGCTTCTGAATACATTTTAATACTTTAATACGATTTTTTTCAGATGAAAGTTGAAGATAAAAATTGGTTAAATTTAATTGAAATAAATCAGGCAACATGAGAGTATAATCAATATCGGAGGAATGCTGCAAAGAATAAAACAAAGATTAAGCATTTTTCTTTTAGTCTCGATATTCTCCGAGAAAAGAATTGCGTCAAAGTGATCATTTAACAACTTCAGTGATGCATATAGTTACTTAGGTCCATTCTTCTCTTAGGTATCACTTAAAAGCGATTAATAGAAGAAACTCGTTTTTTTTTCTTCAGTTTTTTTCTTTGACTCATCAGTAAAAGACTCACACAACAATCGAAATCGCCACCCGGACAAACATGTACTCCAATTTTCTTCTGTTCATTAGCATTGAATCGATCTAGAACTCGATTATTTATAGCAATAAAATCTTTGAGTAATCGGCCACTTGGATCAACTTTAAGTGACAAGCGAGCTTCTGTAAAATCAAGCTGAACAACATGTGCTCCATGTTCTAAAACATTTACTTAGTAAAAAGAATTTTATATCAAACTCTACATACCGAGACATCGTCGAATATCCCTTTCGCATTCGTTGGTTAAATCTTCGAGGAATTTTTCATGTGAATAATTGTCAATGTTACCACTTTTTAGTAGATGTGGTGAATAAACCATGGATAATGCCGATGCCGTAATAACAGCTTGTTTGACTGGTTTGTTGGTTAACCGTTTAGCCGCTTCCAAATATTTGTAGGCATAGGTGGCATATTTGAAAGGTGCTTTGATAAGACGTGGCAGGGTTCGCACATGTCCTATGAAGATACATTCATATAAGAAAGCAAAGAACGATTGTATTCGGATTGAAATCGAGAGCATTCCGATAAATTTTTTGAGTACAAAAAAAATAAAAACTGATATTTTACACCTGAGATAAAGAGAGTTCATATGCTCTATTTAATTCTATATGCAAAACAGTCTGAGGCTTCTTTGCACTATCAACTGTTGGTATCAACGCTTTCACATACCGTCGGAAAATGTTATTTGAAAACATTGTTTATCAAATGTATATCGTTCAAAAACGAGATCATAAATTGGATAGGTCAAAAATGAAGGTTTCGTTTGTTCACCATCGGTCAAGATCATCGATCCGGTCAGTTGATCTAATTCGTTGACTGTTTGCTCCACTGCTTTTTTTTCTATTTTACGTAAATCTTCTATGGTAATTAGATCGCTTTCATATCGAATACGAGCTTCAATTAATTCATTCGGACGTGGAATTGAACCAACCAATTCACTGGGTATCGAAATCTAGACAAAAAACATTGTGAATTCAACTACGAATTCGCCACTGCTTGCTTACCCATTGTCGTGTTGCGTTAGACGCCATTTTCAATTTCAGCAACTTCTAAAAAAGCTAAAACTATAATTGTCATAATGCTGTCATGATTCTTTTCTAGCGCAGTACAAACACATATATAAGTATTTTATTATTCATAAGGTTAATAAGATGCATTCTTCTCGTATACAAGTGATCTACATCTGTTTTTCTACGCCGATAAATTGATGAATACAAGGAGACTCGCTTGAAAATTATTTATTTTCCTATTTCTGATGATGTGAAATAATGTGAACTGTTGTGTCGGTTTATATTTATGACGATGCATCACTAACGAGGAAACCTTTCGACATATGTTAAAGCTATTTTGACTCCATCTTTGAGCCATAAATAGTTCTTAATAAGTTATGAAAAAGCTGAAAAGAATTCCTTCCTTTAGATCTTTGTACTCGACATATCGAATTTTTAAAAGGTTATCTCTATTGGATCCAAGATTTTCAGCAAAATCGTATTCCCACATTTTGATATAAAACTTCGCCCAAACTCTCTCGTACTTACAATGGAAGATGCAGATGCACGTTTTTTTCTATCATCATTTAGCATACTTCATCCTTCGTCAATATAAAATAAAAATTTTATTCGACTTTGAAATATAATTATATAAATGTTTACTTGAACTGTTCAACATAATAGTTGCAACTAAAACTTGGGACAAACTTTCAGTAAAAGATTTCCACGAATCTGAATCGTAAAGCTTAACAAATTAGTGAGGCGTCTCTTTTAATGCATATAGCTGTACTCTTGAATTATTTTTAGTGAAACATACGTAACAAAACGATATCTATTCTATTATCTAGTCCATATTCTAAATGCTACTAAATACCCATCATCTATTATCAACAAATGATGTAGATATTGAAGGGTTTATTTACATTACATTGATTTTTTTTTGTTATTGATCAGTCTAAGCGAATTGATTAGACAACTTAGTTTGAGAAAAACGAAATTCTCAGAAATTACATAATACTCTGAATTTTTAATGACAAGATATTCTAAAAACTAGATTAGTCATGACAGGTGCAGAATATGTTTTATACTATTTATGTCATATGTCTCCGAGCACTTTTTCAACTATTTAAATTAACATCAGTTTATTGAAAAGTCATGGTCTGGCGTCACGATACTCGCTAAATATTGAATACAGTCGAGTCAGATGTTCGAATCCATCTTTATTCTACATCTCTTGTATTCTTATTCTATTTATGGACTAATGCGAACATGATGGTAAGATCTTTCTTGTTATGATAACTAGTAATGACGAATATGAAGAACACTTCAGATTAGACATGACGGAGAGCGCTATTATATTGTTGATATCGTTTCATTCATAATGAAAAGAAAAGATAAATAAAAATTGTTTTAGTTTTCAGTCATCATATTAACTTAACTTTTACGTGCTTATGTTTCATTATGAATGGATGATTCCATGACTGACAGAGAAAGAATATTATATACTACTATATTGCAGTATGAAATCAATTAACTCTTTTTCTTTGTTATAAAAAAGTGAAGAAGAAATGAATCGATTAATGATAAGAAGAAAGTTATAGCTGTAATTTCCTTCTGATTATTACTGAATATTTTCTTCTTGACTTTTTTATAACAAAGAATAGGAGTTAATTGAGAAAACTATATCAATAATATAACTTGTTGATGAGCAGCACGACAGAATTACACATCAGTCATATATATAGATACACTATCTATCAAATGGAGAATGAATAAAAACATATACAAAATTTTTAAATAATAATCAAAATTCAAGTTCTACTTTTGATCGATAGCACTATAATAATATGGCCTGTCTTCATCTATTTTTTGATTACTTGGGAAATTGCCACAATTATTTTTCGAACCCTTATCCTTCAAATTGATTATCCATTTTAGTAACTTTTCTACGCTTTTTTATAACTACTGATGTTCCTTGACAGCACTACACAGTTGTATCAATCGATGGGATATGTGTCCCGATTCAGGCAGAAATAGTTCACTCCATATAAAGCTACAGATGTCAAAAAGAAATGAACGTCAAGATGAAAAACATGTATTTACCATCCATTTTTTCTTGACGGCATATTTCAATGCAAGCAGAGATAGAATAAGAACGTATAAAAATATACCTACTAATTATGACTCTATAAGCTCTATTTCATTTGAGCTCTTCTTAACATACCAGAACTGAATAGATGATTTCTAATAAAATAATTTACATTCCTGCTTAAAAAATCTGTTTACCTTAGCATTTCTATGTCGACTTAAAAAAGTAATGTAAGTGAAATCTTCTTAAATTGTTTTCACTTCATCTTGTCATAGTAGAGGCGGATCAAGGATTTCTACTTCAACAGCTTATATGTCGGCTGAAAAAAATCTATTTCCTTTAGTATTTTCTCCTAGAATGAACAACTAATATGATTAACATCTCCATAAGTTCTTTTGATTTGAGCTTGTTATAGTTGATTTGAATGATTTTACATTTTCCTTGAAAAATAATCTATTTTCCATAGATTTTCCTTCCTGCGTGACAATGTAATCTGATTATAATTTTATGAATTCTTTGTTACGACTGCTTATGAAAGTAGAAATAGTTGCTAAGAATAGCATATTTACTTTACTTTCTTTTTTAAGTAAATAAAGTAAAGTAAATAAAAGATTCCATTATTTACTATTAACCATTTCAAAAAAGAAAAAGTGTGAGTATTCTTTTGACAAACTTTTGATAGAAACTAGATGGAGAGTTGTGCTTTTCAACATTTAGAATAGGAGATGAAGATGCACCAAATCGTATATGAATAAACTTTTCTGACAAATTTTCTCAGTCTCTCGCCATTTTTTTCAAAGAATTCAGGCTTTTTTCATAGGTTTATAAGATGGATTTTTCGTTAAAAAAATGAAAAGAAAAGTCAAATTGTTATGAAGTATGCGCTGATAACATGCAGTAAAATATTTATAACTCATGATTAGCTAAATCTTACAACATCGGACTTACATAATTTATAGATTTTCAGTTAATGATCCCAGTGTACTCCTGAAAATTGAAATCGTAAAACTTTTACATTGAATTATGTTTTGTTTTTAATAAACTTGATGGTAGACTTCGAGAAAACTGATCAGAAAATCTGGTATATACGATTTGATGCAATTTCATTTCCTCTTTTAAATGGTGAAAATGTTTCACATATCGATTAGTTTCCCAAACTATGAGTCTAATATTTTTTATTAGTGACGAAATGTCGATAGCAATTAATATTTCTAATTTCATTTCACTTCAGATTTGTACATTCATTCTTGAAGCTTGCAGATTCAAATTGCATCCAAGATACAGTTGTTTTTTGTCTACATAAGATAGAAAAGAGTGAAAGATAAATCTACGAAAGGAATACAAAAAAGAAACAAAAATCGAAATTTCGTTTCGCTATATTGTTCGTACTGCGCAATACATATAAGACAAAGACAAGCAAAGTTGAGTAATTATTCAATTTGACATGAAAGAGGACCGCCTATATTATGAAATAAATAAGAAAAATAAATACAAATGGCAATAGATATGTATGAAACGGACCAATGAGTACATTTATCGGAAGGTGGATGCACATGAAATGAAAATGAATTTATTAAAACTAGTTCCTGAGAAAATTGAATCGTTTCGGATGTGTTAACCATGTATTCACATTTCGAGAAAAGAAAATTACTGAAATTTCTAGAATTTTGAAAAACGTGTTTCTTTGCATTAGTGTCTACTGTTGAAATTCAGGAAAATTTCCATTTTTGAAAAATCTGCACATACCTCAGTAAAATGTAGAAGAGTTCTATCGGTGAATGTATTTCACAACAAGTGAGCATTCTTCTCGGTAAACTTCTTTGTACAACAAGCATATAGAATACGCAAAACTGTCAACATGTTATCAGCCAGGTGTATGACAGATGCATGTCTTTACTTAAAGAAAGATAACAGAATGACTCCTAGTATTATGACAAACATTTCACGACAAAGTCGCCTGTATTACAAACGACGATAGGAGCAATAGACTTTCTTATTTCATCGTTATTTCAACGCAAAATTAAACTACAATGATAATACAAGTCTTCGTTTTCATTTTTGCCAGGTAATTGAAACAGCTGCTGTTGGGGTGTCTCCAACGCAACAATTTTCTATTCTAGTCTTTTAGGTTTGTCTGTCGCTTCTTTTCACGTATTAAACAACCGATTCTATCCTAGAGTAGATGAAGTTAGTACTCAAGAGTGTCATGGTGGGTGTCAATATAGTCAATGTTCAACGAACATTGCATGTGGCCGTTTTCAAACAGCATCTAATAATGATAGTAGCATTTGTGGTTTTCTCTTGTTGACTTGTTCCGAATTAGTTTCATGTGTTCCATCAAAAAATTTTTGTTATCAGTTTGATCATATCTGTGTTCATTATCCTCGATGTTTTAATCATCCCATTTGTTATCCGTCATTAATGGCTGATTATCGATTGTGTCCACCAAAAGAAAGTAAGAAAAATAAGAATCACTTACAGATTCATGCAGAACTTCAATTTTTACTAAATAGTCCGTTATGTCAAAGAGAATCGACATTTGATTATTGTCGCGAAAAACTGTTCATAGCGCTCAAGGCACTGAACTGTTACAACACTATCATTAGCTTAGTTTTTTTTTATGTATACCACCGATTAGCATATTTTCGTTCTTGAAATACAAAAGAAAGAAAACATTGTATTAGGTACACATATATTATGATAATTTCAGTTTAGAGGATGATAATATTAGACGGACAAAATTTGATCGTAGAAGTATTCTGATTTTCCACTTGAGTAAAAGATGACTTCATGAGTTTAAATATTTTGATGGTGTAACAAAAGAACTCTTTGAAAGATTACATTGTTAGTGGTACAGGCAAAAGGAATAGTTTGTTTTTTAGAAAGCTTCTCGACTCAGAGTTTTCTTTAGTGCAATATCCGTTCAAATGATATAAAATATGGGTTATGATTTCATAGAATAAAAAATAGAAATACAGTTAAAATATTACTTACAAATCATCTTGATTAAGTTACGTATCTCATTGAATGTTGGAGAATGAGGCATTTGCTTAAAACTCTTTTTAATGTCAATGTTTTCTATTCATGAATAGCGACAAACACTACAGCAACTACAATCACAAATACTACAATGATTATGAATGCAACGAGCACATCGACCAGTGAGTTTTTCATAAAAACAAAGAAATATCTTTGAAGTTCGGATGTAAAAGTGGACAGGAATCTACCCTTGCCTAATATTTTCAAAACTAGAAACTTCAACAGTAATTTACGATTTGCTGACTATTCAAAGACTTTCTTTTGATCAATCTATTTCTTATTTCTATAAATCAAATCCTTGCTGAAGTAAAGAAAAGGCAATCATAGCTGTATTCTGTCCGATCATGTTTCAAATACAACGTTAGCGTGTAAAATTCTATGACTGTAAATCAGATAAGAATTTGACTAGACATAGCCCATGGGAGAAAACTTCGAAAAACCAACGAAAATAAAATCATATATGAAATGATAAAAGCTCATCAGAAATATGCTTTTGTCGAGCAGCAAAATTCACTCCATACTCTTTCATATGTCACTAAGATAGTCCCTATTCATCAAAGACTATCAAATTCAGCAGCAATGAATGAGTGGGTGTGGATGTTATGTGTTGGCTTTCTCTTCAACAACACCCGTACTCATACACCACACCCTTAAGAAATTTTCCCACATGAATGTAGAAGAATATTATCCAGCTTTTTCTTTCCATATGAAGTTTTTGAAAAATGCTGGATAGTGAAAATATTTAACACTTGCTAACATGTACCATGCGCTAGTGAAAGAATACTTGGGTTGTAACTATCAGCGCCATATCTGCACTATACAACAGAATATAAAGTCAATACCACCGAAGCTGTCTGCTCTTTATCATAAAGCAAAAAAAATTTTGTATTATATTCGGCTACCAAAGTATCGTGACGTTTAAGCAGGATTTGAAAATATATATAATTAATCCTTTTGCTCAATGTAAAGTTAAATGAAGAAAACAGAATCATCAATTCGAAAAATCCTTGAAAGACTCGAATTACAAGACAAAAATTGCTCAACAATGCAAGGATGCTGCGCTTAAGAAAAACGTTCATCTCTAAGAACTTGTTTTAAATAATTCATAATTCAGTTATTCCAGGATCATATTGTACCAAAACTCTCAAAAGTAGCAAGTGACCTTCTTACTTTCAATGCCTGTAACAAACACTTATTTCTTTTGTGGATTTTGCTTATAAATTAACGTAGAATACCCTGATGATATGTATATATAGAATATGCATTTCATGGATAGATAAGGTCATTTTATTCCTTAAAAACACAGTTGTCAAAGAAAATTCATCCAGTAATCAAAATCAAATACAAACGAACGAATAACCAACATATTTTTGAGAATAATATAGAATCCAAACTCAATTTTCAAGATTCTATTGAGAATCGGTTCGATTTCAATTAATTTTTCTTGATTCGACCGTTTTTTGTTAATTTCGTGAAAAGAAGTCCTGAGAATATGAGAAGTTTATGCGGAACACAAGAACAAAGTTTATCTCAATCCAACGAACAGTTGTTAATCATTTGACAGCAGTCACTAAAGGTGACATCGCTACTATATTTGTTTCTCAATTTGTTTTATGTAATCAGTCGTCTCTTTATCATTTTTACTAGAACGCTCATTCAGTATGATATTAACTGGAGATAGCTATAAATAGATAGTATTTGTAAAAGTGATAAAGCTCAATCTATTAAATAATGATAAAATGACACCGAGTTTCAACTCGATCAACAAATAGAATAGTTAAATTATGGCTGAAGTTTAAAAAGACACCTTTTTTCCCAAATTTAGGTTATTCTGGCTCAGTATTGTATGTTGTCAGTTTGTATGTTCTATATTCATAGTGCACACCTACACACTTTATATCGTACTCTTATTCGGAAAATTTCTGTTCAAGTCTATTTTGGTCCTAACAGTGACTTCTCTTCATTAATTCGTTTTTAAAATTAATTCTTCAACTTCGATATATTATGAGAAAAGGGTCACTTGCTGAATCCAGACAACCACTTTTAGAATCGAAATAGGCTTGAACAGGATATTTTTGCTTGTAGAAAGATCAAATGTCAAATGGGAAGATTGAATGCGAAACGAGTAAAATAGATAATTTTTCGACCTAAATATTATAGATTGAATTTTCTGTAGAACAATTCAGATTAAGACTAAAAAACGACGTTTTTTAAAATTTATGCCACAATTAGATCAGTTAGCCTCGACAAATTGATATCTTTCATTTTCTCAATTCATTAAGTTCCATTAAAACCTGGTGATGATATTTGTGCATTAGCAACATGGGCTCAAAATGCTACCACTGTAGCTGGTGGAAATGGTCAAGGTTCTGATCTGAATCAGTTAGATATCCCATATGGATTCTTTGTTGATCAAAATCAAAGTGTTTATGTAGCAGATTTTAACAACCATCGTATAGTCAAATGGGATCGTGAAGTTTCAAGTGCTCAAATAGTCGCAGGTGGCAAAGGACATGGACTTGATAGTAATCAATTAGACTCTCCGATGGATGTATTCATCGATAAAAATGGAACAATGTACATCACTGACAGAAATAATCAACGTGTTCAACGATGGTCTCGAGGTGCTCAAAGTGGAGAAACAATTATTAAAGATATCTTTCCTGTTGGTATAGTACAGGATGATCAAGGCGCACTTTATGTATCTGATGATATAAAACATGAAGTGAGAAAATGGCGCGTTGGTGACACAATTGGACAACTGGTCACTTCAGAAGTTGTTGATCCAGGTTTATTGTTCGTTGATCGAAATCTAGCTCTCTACGCGGCTGATAGGGGTAATCATCGAATAATAAAAGTGAATGATGGAACAACACAAATCTCGATTGTTGCTGGCGGATCCCAAGGTGACGACACTGATCAATTAGGATACCCAGACAGTGTTATTGTGGATGAGCTTGGTACTGTCTATGTAACTGATACTGATCATGATCGAATAGTGCGATGGCCACGTGGAGCTAGATCTGGCAGTATTATCGCTGGTGGTCATGGTGAAGGTTCTCAGTCTGATCAACTTTGGAGTCCCAGTGATTTAGCATTTGATCTTGATGGAAACCTCTATGTAGTGGATTCTAAGAATTTTCGCGTACAAAAATTTGCCATTGATAAGAGTTTGTGCTGAGACATGTAATAACTGTTTCTGTATTATTCAGAACAAAAACAGCGTCAGATCAAAGAATCTTGAAGTACATATAAAAAAAAGAGATCTCCAATTGGTGATGATCATCTGTCGTATCTATAACTCTTAGTTCCTAAATTATTAAATTATCTGAAATAAACTTGCACACAACAATTGACTAACAACCTAACTGAAGATGCAAATCGATCTGAGGGTGTGGGCGTAGAAGAAAAAGAAGATGCACACTCATACTCGTCCACACACAGATCCTTCGTATCAAACCAATTATTTTTACAGAGTGATGTGATGCCCAAGTTCATAGCTTATGATCTCTTAAGTCTGCGTTATTACAGATTCATGACAATATGTATTATAAATCGACTTTGACAAGTGAAAGTCATCTCGAACAATATAGGATTGTAGATTTCGACAATTGGACATATTTTTGTGTAGTCGTTGATTAATTCTGATATGGTGGTGGTGGTGGTTCCATAGAATGGATCACTAGGAACCGTTTGTAGTCGCCCGTACCCAATCGAGCTACTTGTCTCCAGATCATTTTCCCCTTGTGCTCGGTGTTGATCTTGCTCGCCGACACCTTATCCTCATGGAAGTCCACCATCATGTTCCTAGGCCCGAAATATCCAGCATTCCATGCCTCCAGATATCCAAGAAGATTCATGCTAGTGTCGTGCAATTTTTGACGTGTTATTTCGCGAGAAATTGGTGAAAGAAATACAGAGAGGCCGGCAAGAAAAGTACCACTGAAGAGTTGGTGTGGATTGTAACAACGGAGTATGGCGTTGGCGCCAGAGATGAAGTTCATCCAGTCTAGTGCGGTAACGGAGTTAGGTAAGCCTTGAGGTAGGGAAGTTTCAAATCCCTTCTTAAGTTCAAGGTCATCTCTGAGCTGGACGGTTGTCTCTGCCATTATGTATGTTGTCGCTGAAGAGTGCAGTGTGAAGATAAGTTTTGTAACCAAACAGAATGAATGAAGGAATGAATGCAAGCAACAGCCAGAAAAGAGTATATGTTTATCAACACGCAAAAGTCAGGATTACGTGCATGAAACGAGAAAGAGCAGAACAAGAACGGTAAAACTACTCGATGCAACGAGGACGAGATAAAGAAAAAAAGCAATGAACGACAAAAAGAGAAAGAAACAACGATATCTATTTTTACAGCCTTTTCTTATGACATGCCGCGCTCATATGCGTTATTTTTTTTTCTAACGGATTAAATCAATAGTAATCATCGTTAGTCGATGTAAACCATTGAGAATAGCTGAAAATACGTGTTTTTCATAGTTTTTAACCTCACTATGAAATGTAAATAATATCAAAACTTCATCAAATATCTGCTTTGGACTTTTACATCGTTTTGTGATTTATTTCGAATCAAAACCTTTATTCTAGATCGTTGTAATGTGAGATTTTTGAATGAAGTTTTTCTATAGATTTTTTTCTATTGCCGTTTATTTCAAATTTTTCGACAGTAATTTCACTGTACTTCCGTCACGAGGGTATTGGTGTGGCATTTCCGAAGCCCCTATGATAAGTTTCGACTTTTCTTAATGAGACCACCCTTCCCGATCCAAAATTTTCAGCTTTTTCGTTTTTTCATGTTATTATGTTGGATAGAAGATTTGCAAGGAGTGTGGAGGTATGGTATCAACCGCCTTTAAAGTACACGCCCACCGCTAAACATTTTGTTAAACCGTAAATTTACGGGCTTCACCGTCACAGAATTAATGAAAGATTTTAGCATCATATAAGATACAATGTATCTCAATTTTTGGAAAGGTTGTATTTGAGATTGAAAGAAACGTAATATTTAAAAAATGAAAGTTTCTTGAGCAGTAATCGTAGTAATATATGATCATCAAAATGGTTCATTTTATAGGGTCAGGTGAACATTGTCTCCTCTAGTTTGATGATCAATAAGTGTTGGTGCTGTGAGTAATATGTTCGTTGGAGCTATTCGTTGATGATCCCTATTGAAACAACGTTTCAAATACATTTGAATCATTTGTCGCAAACGCGGCGATGAAAAAAGGAATATGTAAAAAGATGATGCGAAATTTGTAGAAATGATACAGACAGTCAAGTAATCGACGAGAAGTACAATAGAGAGTTGATCGAAACTTCTCGTTGTACTCTCTCCAATGGTAGCGATCGAATAAATAACGAAAATAGCTCGAGGAATTGTGCAAAAAATACTTAGAAGAGTTTGAGCTAACATCATTCGTGTCATTTGTTGTTCCCACGTTGACAAGCGAGTTTGATTTGTTTGTTGACGAACATGAGTCGCAAGACGAATATTACGATATGTCAACAGTCCAAAGAGTATTAGAACTGTTAGAGGAAGAAGAATAGTGAAGATTGGAGACAAAAGAAGAGTTCCTATTCGCATAAAAAGATCATTTGTGAACCAACAAGTGAATGTTGGTGGTACAAGATCACAATAAATGAGAAAAGGAGTATTGACAATGGACCAAAACATGAACGGGACAGGAGAGAGACGACGCGCTATACCAATCGAACTCAATTGGCGAATTCGAACTGATTGAGACGTACATGCCCACCGATCAAATGCAGACAAACAAAGAAAACTCATTGCAACAGACACGGTCATTTGCATAAAGAACACCGTTAACTTACAAGCAATGGATGAAACCGATTGTGATGTGAATGGAACTATTTGAAGAAGCACGATCAACAAAACGTTTACATCGGATAATGATTGCCCCACAACATAATAAGCCAATGGAGATCGACGAAGTACTTTTATGCTAACGAACATTATCACATTGAGAAGCGCCGCCGGAGCTCCAATTGAAAATAAAATAATTGCACTCCAGAATCTTATTTGAAGAACTGCTTCAAAGACGGACATCTGTGCTTTTTCTAAAATTCGCTGAGTACTTGCACAATGCTTCTTCAATCGCAATAGAATTATTCGAGTACACTCTCACCAGCTTGTTTTTTATCTTTTCTTTCTCTCTCTCTATATATATATATCGCTTCTATGATGTCTTCAAATGAAACCTAGTTTGAATTTCCATTAGAAGCACATAGATATGTCAACGAGAGGTAGATTATCAAGATCAAAAATTCCATCGTACTCTTTCAGAGAAGATATCATCATTAGCATGTTGTCAAATATTTTTTCTTTGTCGAAAGTCAGCCTCCTTTTTTTCACGAATATTTATAATTTGTATATTCTTCAATTAGTCATTGCCTGTAAGTAGTCTGCTGTATCGTTTTCGAAACTATTTTTTGAAAAAGATCTTCTAAAACATTGAGCTAGTTTCATTTTCATAATACTTTACGAGTATGAAATAGTGTGAATATTTTCTTGAGCCCATAAGAATTTTTCTATATGAGATGATTTGTTCAATGTTGATTATGTGTGTATTATTGGTCGAAATGTGCGAAGTAATTTGCAAGAAGAGAAAGAATGTCTCGGATTCAAAGAACATGCCGTTAAACTGATTAGATACTTTATTTAAATTAGCAGAGAATTCATTTGAATTTTCACAATGTTGTTAAAATTTCCACTAGAACAGGTAATGAAGGTATAGGAGCTCATAGTGACATAGGAGATAATGGAAATCTAAGAAGTAATGCAAGGAATGAAGATATTGGAGACATGAGAATTTTGATGAGTCTGATCAACCGTTTTTTTGGTCCCAGTTCTGACAAAAAAATTTGGTCGCGATCAGAGAAAACACTGATTTTGATCCTGGTTAGAAACAATGTTTGGTTCTGATTTTATAGTTAGGAATAATTGTGCTGATGACAACTGTGATGCAACATTTTAGGAGTGTCAATAATCTCGAGACTTTTTGCAAGAATTCTCGGATTTTTATTATTCTTCATCTTTGAGACTTTATTACATTCTTTGATTAATCAGTAGTTCGTCCATTCTAAACGTTTATGTGTTCGACAACTCTTGTTTACGAAAAAATGACTGATTTTACCATCAAAACTAAAACAAAAGAATCATTATCATGTGTGGTACATAACATCTTGATATTATTAATATATTATAAAATGAGACAATATATGCAGTGTAGAAATTGTATTTAATTTATATCAAAGAAAACAGAAGACAAAAATGCAAAAAGAAAATCTTCGATCTTCAAGACGGTCATTATCAAGCTTAGATCCTGACGATTTTCACTGATATTACAAATAAGAAGAAAATATTATGAATCTATAGGAATGTAACATATAGCCTGACATCATGAAACTATAACAGTATCAGACGTAACTCAACATCATAATCCAACTAATTGTCAATATGAATCAATGTAATTCACATAATAATTAATAATAAATATGATATCAAGTTAGAAGATAATAATAATAATAATTAATCCGTCTTATAATATCAGATATATTCCATAAATAAGTAAAAACTCAAGCTTTATTTTTCTGCTGAACTGTAATAATAATTATCATCAAGTATATTATTACAGATTCATGATATTAGGTTACATTTTACATTCCTATAATTTTGTGACTCTTTCGTCTTACAACTTTTCCAATTATATCTTATTTGGTACTTTTTTTGGTTTTGTTACATCAATCAAAATTATCTAGATCTAAGCTTGATAATGAACAACTTGAAGACCCAAAATAATCTTTTGTCCTTGTATAATTTGTTTTCTCTCATATAAACAGAAATAAACTAGAAAAAATTTGTACGTTTCATATTTTTTCTTATATAACCGCCAACGTTGTTATGATTAAATCTGCAACAGATGCGTATGAATTCGGATTTTTATAACTGTTCCTATACTGCTTTCGGAAGAAACTGATCTGTCCGACGGAGTTCTAGTTAGATGAACTGATTTCACTTCATATTTCATTTTAACCTAATCATTAGATTTTAACTTGCTCCGTTCCGAACCATCTTCTCAACTGCACAAACATGCTGGAATGACGCTACCACACACTTTATGCTCGTAAAAAGCATTCAATATCCACTTCTTAAAAGAGAACAAATCCCTGAACCTTGATTTCGAAACAGAACTGATCACTGCTCACAGTGCTTGCAGAAGAACCGTTTATTTGATCCATATTTCAAAACAGAAAGATTCATAGAGCTTGCAGCTATCGCAGATCTAGTAGTGATTCTCATTGAACAATTTCTTTGTCTGAATATAAAGCACATGATCCACAACATGCAAGTTATTACACGAGATAAACCATACAATGAGAAGTGTTCGCTCCGATGCTCATGTCAATATAATAGTGGGTGTTGATATTCATGTTTCCGCCGCATCAACATCAAGTACGTATATCTCCCTCAGTGTTAGTTGAAACAAACTTTAGGAAATTGAAATAAGGATGTGAATGTGGATGTAGGCGTCCGGTAAGAGGAGAAGCGCATCTACACCAATTCATTCCTGCTCCATCACTTCACATCTACCCACATACTTCCACCATCAGAGGTAGAACAAGTATAAGTACTGCAACTAAAATTGTTATACTTGTAGTCGTAGATGAATACTTTTGTACTTACATTTAGTTATAAAAATAGCTTTCAATGCAATCGCTACGGGATTTAAAATGTGAAATACGATGAAGCCGTTTCTAGAGTAAATAAAGTCTCTCGTTACTTAATGACATGAGGCAAAAACAAGTTTTTTGCTCCAGGATTTCGAGCCTATTAGATAATCGCTAATGCTTTGTGAATTCTGTAGTCATTGATCCATAAAATCATAATATCCTTGTTCGAAAGTTCATGATTCCATGATTTAAAGATCCACAATATCATAGTACTAAAGGCCATAATAGCATGTTGACATGTCTGTTGCAGTATGTGTGGGTGAATTAAGTGTCTCGGTCTAAATCTTTAACATTCATTTTCAATCATGTTTTACAGAAGACACTTGGTACTTCTATTTGTCGTATAAATAAAATTAATTTCGTTAGTAAGTTAACAATCTCTGAAAAAAAATTAAGATAGTAGTATTACCATCTTATTAAAAAATCAATGCAAGCCATTTGTAAAAGCCATCTGTTTCCTTGTTCGATCTTATACCTTTGACTAAATATAGTTTTACAGCACGCAGAGCAAAACATATATATTCGTGCCCACGACTTATAATCCAGAGCAGTTTTTCCTTCGCTGAGTTTTAAAAACTTTGATAGGTTTTTTCAAATCTTGACTGGAAAGATTTAAGCGTCCAGTTTTGATGAAAAAGTTTCCGAATACATCTTAGACCTCTCAGAAAGTAAAAGTTAAGTTTATTTCTTTCTAATGATATTATTGGACATGTGATGTACACAGTTTATATGGTGTGTTAGATACATGAATAATATCTTCAAAAATGAAACAATTCAACGTTAGAAATCTGTTTTAAGAGAAATTTACAGAATCATCTGAAAGTCTACTGATCATTATACAGATTAATTGCTTTTTACTGAACATATGCCATTCTTTTTGAAATATGTCGAAAATGTAAAAAATTTATACAAAAGATTTGACGTTTTGACTTATAAATAGATGCCTGAAATGTTGATATTTGTAATAAATAGGTGTATGTAGAGTAATAGACAGTTGAACTACCTAATCGAATAAGCCATACAATTTCAAATGTATCTCGTCAATGGTAAGAGTTACGTGTTCAGAGTCTGAAGCTCTGTGCTTATCGTGTCAAAAATGACTACCTTTTGTGTTCTGAAAAACAATACTTTTGGGTAGAAAGCGACGATATCTGACATTTCAATTTGAAACAACAATACATATAAGAGAGTTAGAAATTTGTATCTGATTGTTTCCATCTATTGATTGTTTAAAAATAGTTAAGCATATCATTTTGTCAAACATGGTTGAAAATAACTGTCGAGGTTAAGAACGAAAAAAAATGAATCTTTACAACCCTGCCTCATAGACCGTAATGATCATGTGTAATGTTCAACATTAAATTTTGACATGGAACACGAATGAACCGGCACTTAGAACATCGTGAGGCATTGACACTTATGATAATCGCTTAAACATTGTGAGCAACTACCAAAACTTAAACTAAATAGAAAGATAATGTTAACTATTTCAGGGCAATTAGCTATTGACTGTCTTTGGACAGAGCGACACGTTATACATTAAAGATTGGAAATAGCTGCGTATGCATTAGATTACGCTCATTGTAATGCATACGCAACTACTTCTGATCATCAATGCATGATACATCTCTCCGTTCAAAAACAGTCAGGAATCACTATAGAAGCCATCCGCCCTCAAATGATTAACGGAAAAAAAGGCATGTTTTGGTATTTCAAAAAGAAAACCTAAGTGCTTTTTTTTCGTACTAAAGCACAAGTACAAAAGTATTCATCTAGAAGTACAAGTAGAAGTGCCAAGTACTTTTTTCAAAGTGCAAATATAAGTACGATTCCATGTTTCTCAAGTACAAGTGTAATAATTTTACTTGAAAAAGTACAAAAAGTCCAAGTAAAATTACTTTCGTTCTACCTCTATTCACCACTACTCACATCCACCCACACTCCAAGAATATTGAGTAAGCTAACTGGAAAAGAACTTCATGCAGTGGTTTTAGTTTTACTTCTCATACACCGTTAACAATTTCTCAGTTACAATGCAGCCACGTTGAATATAGTCGAGCTGGTCTATGCTATACACGCCTAGTATTGTCAATGAAAAAAAACAGGCTTTATTCAAATGTCACAATATGTAATATCAATAAATCCCCGAATATATATGTAATATACTCAAATAGCAGTGATTTCGTAAAATGCACGAAAATCACTCTAAATCCTTGATATTTAAGAAAGAAAATATATGTGTGATATATCTGAATCACCAAAGCTACCAATACTTTAATCGGTTAGAACAATGATAACTACGTTAAGTTCTGTGTTGGCTGTGCTGGTTGTCATCGCACATCCTGACGATGAAATCATGTTTAGTGGTTTCATTCATGCTCTTACACATAAACTCAATGCTACGGTTGATCTTGTATGTGTAACAAATGGTGAAGGTGGTTTTAAATATGCGGGACCGTCTGAATCCCTCTACGGAAATATGAAATTATCAAACGAAATTATTGGCAGAAAACATTTGCCACGCATACGTCAACAGGAACTATTTGATAGTGGACGAATATTGAGTATTAGAAAATATTTCTTTTATGATCAGATGGATTTGCAATACAATCGAGATGCCAATATAGTCTTTGCAAATCAATGGGATAAAGAATGGGTAATCAAACAATTTCAGCAAACAATCAAGAATGGAAACGGTGCTGATGGTTATGATTTAATGGTTGTTATACTTCCAAATATCAATTCGCATGGTCATCATACAGCATCAGGTTTGCTTGCACTCGAAGCTATCGATCGTTTACAACAAATGAAGTCAGTGAATATACGCATACCAACAATTATTGGTGGATCGCAATTTGTTTTAACTGAATCGCCAACATATCCTGAAAATCCACTTGCTGAAATTTTAATGAACATGACGGCATTCGAATTTCGTTTCCATCTGACATGGAAATTGAGTGAATCATCGATTGTTGATTACAGAACGATTCGTCTTTGGACGGCTGCTGAACACAAGTCTCAAGGCAGTCTCATCAATGGACTATTGTCGGGATATGATCTTGATGTAGAGCAGTATTTTTATTTTGCTATTAACGAACGAAACGGTGATAAAGAACGCCTTCCAATGATCCAAAATCTATTCGCTCAACTTTTTGAAATACATCAAAGCAATAACACAAAATAGCTCCAGTAGTAAATTCAATAATTCAACAAGAAAACTATACTTTAATCGGAATCGTACCATTGCAATATCACACATAATATAGAGCCTGTAATCCAGCAAATACCTACTTTACACATAATTTGTCTGTTATTTTATTTCTAATTTGTTCGATAGAATAAATAGTGTGAATAAGACTTTTACTCTAACAAAACTAGTCCAGCATCTGATGAAAATAATTATCGAAGCATAACGAAATAGGAGTTTTTCCTGTATTTGGCTTTGTTTTTATACGTATTGTTTTTGTTTGTAGTTTGTAGTTTTAAATTTGTTATGATTTGTGTTTGAGTCTAAATTTAAATGATTTCTCATTTCATGCACTATTGCTCGGTTATGATTTGGTCCTAATATGTACCAATAAAAATGTCATCACGTACTAAACAATTAAATATTTTTAATGTTTACTCGTTTAAGGAAAAACAAGATATAACAACTTGATTTAGTTAAAGCTTTTTTTTGAAATCAATAAGTATATGGTGAAAATCATCTATTATACCTTCATTATAACTTGTGATTAAATATTCATTTTGTATTTGAACAGACAATCTATTCATAACAAAAATTCATAATAGTACATAAGCTGAATTTGCTATGTAACGATTTAGAGTACCTGACATTACACGACCTTGACTGTCTCGTTTTACAACATCATCATGACGTCTATGTACTCCAATCCATAAACATTGAGTAGCTTGAAACAACCGATTTTATTATTTTTATTTGTTGTTAAAACAATAATATTATTTTTTTGTTTTGATCATATTTGATGTTATACATTGAAAATAGTCAGTTGACTGATATTTAGACGAAATACATTCATTTTGTTCTATTATGAAGCTCCTAAACATCCATCGAATTTTGAGCACTTAGTAGAAGGAAACCTTTTGAGAGAATAATAATGCTGTCTCAAACGCTTTTCAACTAATCGAAATATCGACTACTCAAGAAAAAGAAATATGTTGGAAGAATAATATTGAGTACTGCACAGAAGCAAAGTCACCACAATAACATTTTGGACCGATGAACCTAACTGCGATTATCTGAAACTTTTCAAAAAAAAAAGCATCATAAAATATCTTATGCTTTTATTCAACTATTCGAGCAGGATTATTTATTTCCAGCATATATTTCATCATAGTTTCATAATTTTCTACGCGTTTTTTTACAAATAATTGATGAAAACTAAGACGGAAATCCGTTAGAGTTCCTCAAAAAGACACAACTGTAACGAATTTTTGCATTATAAACTTTTGAAGCAATTTCCATCGTTGTATACTTTATCACACAAATCAGTCCATCATCAAATTAGCTCTTTAAATGGAATCTAATTATCTAGATAAAAATTTACCAACAAAGTAAATGAGGCAAATAACAATAGCCTGTTATCTTCCATTCGGTTATACACATTGTAGCTTACTTGATCGATCGATCGAGTGAGTATATGTAATAGCTGATCTATTTCGATGCCTTTCTCTTGCGTTTCGTTATTGATGACTGTGATTACGATTATCAAAAAAAAACTCGATGAGCCACATTCAGTTAACTATAATGACTATAGCATCAAAAATAGTTGTAGTCTCGAGAACAAAAAGGAATATGCGTAAGTCCATGGGAATCCAACCACTTTTTGGAAAAGCTTTTTTTATCAATTTTTTTGTGCTGGTTAGGTGTATAGTAGAGAGAAAATAACTTTGGCCGAAAAACTTATGTAACTTTTGTCTGAA